CGCCATGACACGTGGTCCGTGGCCATTTTCTGCCCGTGCCACATGGTCTGCAGCCATTTTTGCGCCCATGCACGTGGTCCACAGCCATTTTTCCACCCGTGCCACATGGTCCGTGGCCATTTTCCACCCATGCCACATGGTCCGCGGCCATTTTTCCGCCATGCCACGTGGTCTGCGGCCATTTTTCTGCCTGTGCCACGTGGTCCGCGGCCATTTTTCCGCCCCGCCACGTGGTCCGCAGCTATTTTTCTGCCCTGCCGCGTGGTCCGCGGGCGTTTTTCCACCCGTGCCACGCAGTCCGCGGCCGTTTTTCCGCCCTGCCACACAGTCCGCGGACGCCGGAAAGGATTAACGGTAATTACATTGAACCTTATGGGAAAATTTGCTTCGGGTTGCGAACAAATCAGGTTGCAACCAGAGTCACGGAATGGATTAAATTCGTAACCCAAGGTACCATTGTAGTAACCAAGCTGCTTAATTAATCTAACCAGAATGGCTCATACTCCATGCAGAAAAGTCAAATGCTCATGAAACATTGGGGTGTTCTGAAATGAAGAATCAGGTAACTTCACCCCATATGCTTCAGGAGGGTATGTTGCTTTTTAAGGAAAATAAGCAATGCTACCCTCCTGGCTACAAGATACTCCCCTTCTGGAACTGAGGTGAGCTTCAAAGATAGGTGGTGGTAAAAAGGAAGAAAAGTAGTCAAAGAACGATGTAGAAACCTACTGAACTAGTACCTCCTGCTCTTTTAAGTCCTGGTCAAAGTAGCACCTATTTTTCATGCTTCAAAAATCATTCATATACAACACAATACAATTTGTTACATAATTTCTTGTCACTTTTTAAATAAAAGCAATAACATTAATCTGTGTATCTCTATTTTCAGGTGACGGTTGGATTTATGATGTTGCAACAAACGAATGGCAACAACTTACATACTTACCAAAGAGTAGACCTAGGTATAATATGCTAGTCATTTCCTGAAATTGAAGAAAGTATGACTATATAATTGTATAATTTTGAGAATTCGAATATAGATTTGGGTCTAATGATGCCTTATAATAGTAGAAAGGCACATCTATTCATGTAATCAAGGCTTGCAGTTTCTGCTGGCTCCCATTTCCCCAGTCACAGGGTGCTTGCCATGTCCACTACTGTTCCAAAGAGTCCAGTAACACTCAGAAGTCATTTTGCATGGCATTGTTAGAGGAATAAGACAACAAAGCTGTGTGACAATTGAAATTCACTCATAATTCGCATGCTCCAACTCATTAACTTATAAACATGACTTACTTACATAATACAAGTTCTATTTTTGATCATTTTATCCAATGTGTCTGCTTGGACCAGTAATACTGTATGCTTTTAAATACTTCCTACAGGTGTCAGTAAAGTTGTTACAAATAATTTTAGTTTAATAATTGTTCTGTTCAGACCTTATGCTTGAAGAAACACATGTATAAAACATAGTCTCATATCCTAATCCCACACCCAGTGTCTTCACTCAAGCCTACCCCATGTCAGTTTCTGTTTTCTTCTTGCTTAATAATGTGACCCCAAAATGATTTCCAATGGGGTTCAATTGAATTCCAGTGCAGGCCTCCATATAATTGCGTATCAGTTTTTTTAATTGCATTGATGCTTCTCTGAAAGCAAGAAGAAGACACTTCTTTACTCAACCTATAGAAGTCAGGAACTAAAGAAAGTAATGGTCCTTTACATGCGCTTCTCCTAGTGGGCATAAGCCTGAATAAGGCTGCCATTATCAGAAAAAATATAAATCAAAAGGACAGTTATTTAACTGTTCAGATTTCCTTCCTAGTGCATTTATTTGGAATAAAGGCATGGGAATTTCAACAGATACTGATTCATGATACCTGAAGTTAGGAAAGCAACTTTAAAAACACGTCTGCGTATGAGAAGGACACACATAACTGCAGAAGTAAGATCACGCACCCATGTTATGTCTGTATGTCCACAGACAGTAGCACAAGAATTATCTAGTCACACAGAGTAAAAATAGTGACAGGTAGTCCTCACTTAACATTAATTGGGACTAGAAACTCAGTTGTTAAGCAATGCAATCATATGTTGAAGAGCCACATGACCATGTTGCTTAGTGACAACAGTTCCAGCAGTCCCGGTTGCTGTTGTTAAACAAGAACCATGCAGGTCATTAAGCAAGGACCTCAAGGTGACTGCGACTTGTGATTTCCTGCCAGCTTCCCCATTGACTTTTCTTGTCAGTAGCTGGCAGGGAAGGTCACAAATTGCAATCACGTGACTCTGGAGATGCTGCAATGGCCGTAAGGTTGTAACTACCACTTGTTCAGCACCGTCGTTAAGTTCGAACAGTCGCTGAACGAGCGGCCATTAAATGAGGACCACCTGTAATTTTAAATTTTAAACACAGAATAAGACAGAATGAAACATTAAATACAGTATCCCCAGAATAAAACAAAATAGATCAAATCTTTATTTTATGAATCTTACACGTTGAATTTTGTGTAGGTAGGTTTTGTGTAGATGTAATATACACCTGAAGATTGAACAGTTTTCACTCAGTAGATATAAAACCTTTCTAAACATAGAATGTAACTGAAATTGAGCCAAAAAGCTGCCATTGTGCCTGCTCCTCCTGTAAATGTAGGTGCACAGGCAACATGTACCTCCTCAGATTCCTTTTACCACTCCCAAAGGACCTCTAGGTTAGACAGCCTATTTTGGGAAGGAGGGCTAAGAAGAAAAATGAGTGTCTTAATCCATGCAGAGGCTTAAGGTACCTTTGTGCTTTATATCTCGTCCCAACCTAAAATAATTGGGCCAAGTCTTCCTTGTGTCAGGTTATGTGCCTTTAGCCTTTACAAGGCTTAAGGCACCCATTTTGCCTCTCAAAGCAACCTCAGATCCCTGCTCCAAAGTGAAATGAATTCTAATGAGATAATATTACTAGCCACATGCCCTGTAGCTGTCAAAAGGCCAAATAATTTTTAAAGTGTGGCCTCTAGCCATAAGGAAGCTTTATATCCCAGTTTTAAAGTGATGAAGTGTCACTTTCTATGAGTTTGCATAGCACCATAGCTTGTTTTAGAAGATTAGAAAGCAGTGCACAGGTACTGCTCTGTTGTTTGATGCATCTGCATATGTCTTTTATCATTTTAATACAAAATTGTTTTGAAGTATTTTTTTCATTATCCCTCATTCATCCTTAATTCAGATACTGGGAATGCAGACCTAAAGGTACCTCCCTATTGTCAAGCTATTTTCAGTCCATGTGCAAAAGACTTTGCTAGCAGTTCGCCCTATCTGTGTCCTTACCTCATCATGTATATTCGGTCAGAGATCTGCACCTTGCACCCAGACCTGCTTCTCTGAGGAATCTGGCCTACAATCCCCAGAAACACCAAGTGCATGGAAAGTCTAGCAGATCATTGGGGAAGCAAGGATGGCCCACATCCTTCCATCCCCCAGTAGTTTAGGCTGCTGATATGAAGGGTAGTCCTCTTCAGAGACTTTATTCATATTTTACTCAGAATGTTTATGTAGTGGCACCAATCTAGAGAAAGCTTGGTACAAAAGCTTAGTTCAGTCACAGGGATTAAAGTTGGGATCTTGTACTAAAATCATGACTGCACAGAGCTAGAGATATGCAGAACATTTTGAATTTGTACCTATTTGAATTTGAAATGCTGTACTTTGACTGCAAAAGTACCAATTCTAGTATTTTGGAAGACTCCAAGCTCAGAACCCAGTCTGAAATCTTCTGAAATGGTTGCAGCAGCCTGTTTTGCGCTCAGAATGGTTCAGTTCAAAACATTCTGCATACTTCTACCTAAAGTTGATTGACTTAGGCTTGCATTTTGGTGCAGATTAAATTGTGGTTACTGGAACAGCAAAAACTCATACTCCTTATTTCCTGTTGTTATGTATAAATCCTGCCTTTATCATTTTGGAATGAACTACTGTACAGTGTCATATTGCATCAGCACAAATACTTGCATTAAGCATGGTAGTTCAAACCAGAGTTTGCAAGTCTGCTTTTAATGCGGTTGCAATATTATACAATGCCGCATCATAGTTCACTCCCAAACGGGAAGGGATTTTTAACAGGGAGTGAAACAGAAAAGTCTATGAGTACTTTTAAGCACATATACATGATCATGATGGCTGCAATACCTCAAATGAACTAGGTGGTTACCAGAGAGATGCACTACCAGAGATAGAAAATGGATGAGAGACCTTGTCCTTTTGACCTCTGAAAAATCTGCACACTATACTAAGATTTTTAGATACCATTTTAATTCTGTTACTTTATATTCCTTTTATATTTTGCAGCTTTTAGATAATTATATTGGTTATACTGACATCTGTATTTTTTGCTCTGGTAATACAAATAAATATTTAAGTGCTCTCTCTTTACCACTTCATAACTTAATATTGAATGTAATAGTGCAATTCACCAAAAAGATTGTATATGGGGGGAAAAGGGGAAACCAGTATACAAAAATTTTGTAGTATTAATCTGTAATCTAAGTTATCCATTGTCATTGCAACCAACAAGCTGATAAATATTGTCCCCTTATCCTTCTATTCAAATAAGTGTACTGAAGATCAGATTGATAATATCTGACTTTTTCTGGGTAATTCTTTACCTTATCACAATTTCTATACAAATCTTCATTCTCTGGTTTAGATGCCACCCCTGTTAGACATGTGTACAATTCAGTTATAATGTGATATATTTGAATTACAACAGATACTATAGTTTTTGACAAGGATTTGTTTAAACAGATGATGTTAATTTAGTTGATTAATAATGCAAATAACATGCTTTATTAGAATGTCTAGGTGCTAAGTTAGAGCAGCTGTGAGAGGACATAAACTCTGTCAGTCAATAGAAAAAGCCTCAGGTTTCAAGCTAGGAGTCAAGGCCCAGAGTGAAGGCAGGAAAGGCATTCCAGTGTTCTGCGATGATCCAGTCCAGGCCAGAGTTTTCCTAAAGCAGATAAGACAGAGGCAGAGCTATCAACAGGTATGAGGAAGAGAACAGGTGGGATACAGTTTAGTGTAAGGAGAATGGTACATAATTGCTGAAATAAATGAAGGTGTTTTGCAGTCATCTTGCACATACTTGGCAAATAAACAAAAGGAGGCAAATCTCGCAATCCTATTAATCCCAGTGAGTTTCATGGGTTAATTTAATTTCCAAAAAATAATTCTCTTCAAGCAGTGAAGCTATCCTAACACAATTATTGCTATAATCCTATACAAATGATGTGTATTTTCAACAGTTCGTATCTGTGTCTATTTATTTATTTATATTTCAAATTTCTAGGCCACCAAACTCTGACAGTTCCAGTGATTTAATATGTCCAAACAGTAAAAAGAAAAAAAAATACAACCCCAAGACAGTGTCATCCATCAATTTGTTTATTGTGCACTGGTGTGTGCAAAATAACCCCCAACTTTTGTAGGATGTAAAGGAGGGATGGGAGAACAGAGCACCCCATTTACTTTGACCCCCAATCACATGTTCATAGTTACAAGCAAAAAGATGGAACTATTGCAGCTCAGTTAGTACTCATGGAAAGCTGATATCTATGTAGAGTTGCCATGCTTTTTGGTACATTTTTACCTATAAACATCCTTTTAGTCAAACAGATCTCATCTCTGTCTTGACTGTTTCCTTGATTTTTTTTAAAGAAAGATGTATCACACTTCCGCTGTGTTATTGGCACATATTGTATGTCCTAGTCAACCCACTGCCAGCCTATATAGTGACAGAAAACAGCACTGGTCCATATGATTTCTTTCTCCAGTTAATAGCCTCCAAGGAGGCTATTAATGTACAGGAGAAGGGAATGGAAGAGATTATCCGAGTCCAGAAATATTTTCCCAACTCTCACTTCATGCCCTGCAAAAGAAATACAAGTTCTAATAAATAATGGTTGGTGGTTGCCTTAAATTAAGGCCGAGACTGGAAAAATAAAACCTTTCAGGTGGCTGAGTTTCTAAATGATTGCCATTGCGTATCTTGAAAGTTTGAATGCTCATACTTTGATATTCATGCCAATATATTTCATGATGATATTATGGTCAATGAATATTTTAAAAATTCATATATTCATGATTAGTATAAAACCATTTTGTTGTACTAAGATAAAGTATTATAGAACCTATTTTATAAAGACAGAATAAGCTGTTCTGTTATTTAAATCTGTCTCTTTCATTTATAATTTCACTGCAAGCAACTTTTAAAGAGTTGGATCAAATGCATTACTAATTGTTTAAATTCTTCATTTGTTAAAAATGTAAGTTCACTAATAGTAAACAGCAAAATACCAGTAAGATTTAAATTTCTTCATTCAAAGCTAACAAGTTCAAAATATTTTAAAGAATTGAGTAATCACTCTTAAGACAATATAGATATTATGTGTTGGAAATTAAGTGGAAACTCCTGTAATATAGATATAATATGCCCCTCTAAAACATGTAAGTAACTGCTTTTTAAAGATCAGTTATTTGGGCATTCATTCTAAGTATAATACTTTCTAGATTATGGCATACAGCCTGTCCTGGCAAAGAAGGTGAAGTATTAGTCTTTGGAGGAAGTAAAGATGATTTGCATTTCCTGGACACAGTAAGTACCTTAAATTATCTAATTGTTGATAAATTTTAAAGGAAACGCACATTCCGTATTTTTGTGTCAGAAATATTTAAGGAGAGAAAGTAATTTGGGATCAGTATTGATTCTTCCTAGTGAAATTAGCATTAGGAGACTCAAAAAGTAGTTTGCTTTAGTTTTTCACAGCATTGTCTAATTTTCATGTTATATTCAATGTGCATGTAGTTAAGAGTTCTAATTATTTCACCCAGCTAGCCTTTTCTATGTAGGCATATCCTACATATTGTATGTGAAAAATGATATTTTATTGGAGGCCAGATATATTAATTAATATCCCACCTTTATTTTGTACAACTCAAGGTAGCATACATAATTATCCCTCTTCCTAACAAGAACACTGTGAGGTGGGCTGGGCTGAGAGAAAGACTGACTCAATGCCTGGCTTCCATGTCTAAGGGAGGACTAGAACTCAGGGCCTCTAAGTTTCTAACCCAGCATCTTAATAACTATGGGTATACCAAAATATACTGTACTGAGAAACCTTAGCCAAATGTAAACTGCCAGTGCCTGCCACTGAAATTATGCATGTTTGATTGTTACTCATGGCTATTAGCTTTCAGGTTTTTTAATACAAGAAAGCGATTTCACTTTAGAAAAAGCAAGATGTGCAGAATTTTGCAGATGGGCAGTGCTAAGAAAATATAATCCTTCTTCTAAAACTGTTTAAAAATAATTTTGAAACTATTTTTAGTATCAGTTTCTTTCCCAGTCAAATCCCTGTCCAAAAATCCCTAGGAAACCTTCATAATTACCTTGATCTGAATGTTTACACTAATCATCAAGTTGGGTTCCCAGTTTTAAGGATCCTGCCTATCTGTTGCTGTCGAAATGTTTTTCTGCATCTTTCTTCACTTCAGAGGTATAAATGCCCTGAACAAAGGAAAGGGTCTTCTTGGTTGAAGTAGCAGGGATGTGGAATTTCTTTTTCAGAACTAATTAACTGCTTTAAGATAACATAGTACTGCAAACTTAGTTTAGCTACAGGCACCTGGAAGCTCTTTCCTGTCAGTGGTATGGCTGCAAACATTCATCCACAACTTATATTTCGTTTGTTTCATTATCTAGAGATGGTTGCAATCACTTTTTCTGCCCAGAACAAGCCAGAGCAGGACTCGATTTTGTTTTAATATCCCCTCTCTAGGTCTAAAGATTTGGGGTGAAACTTAATTCTTCTTACTTTTTTACTTTGGAGCCACAGGAGGCAATGGAAGGTATATAGGAACAACATGCCCTGAACTGGATGCGGGTGAACAAATAGAAATTCAGTTGAGACAAATTGAGGCTCTGATACGGAGTTTAGTGATTCTGAACAGTGATTTCTCGACTGATATGAATGTGGTTGCAGGTTTGGAAATAGGTGTTTTTGATCTCGATTTTACTTTGCCCAATTTTTGAAGCACCTTTCATCAACTTCAATTCCCATGCAAGTTACAATCCTTACTAGATTATCCCTGTTTTAGTCATTTCTGGATCAGATGACTGTAATGTGTATGATTTCCGTTGAAGACTGCAAGAATACTAACAGTGAGAGGACTTTGATCAAATCTCACTAGTTGGTTTCTGAGATGAATGTGCATTTAGAAAAATATTTTCAGTGCTTCAATTCTCAAGAGAGGAAGTTAATAGATATCAAAGAATGAACCTTTTTAGACATAGCAGCATGTAAACATCATCATTCATATTATAGCTAGTCCTCTGTTAACGACAATAATTGGGACTGGGAACTCCACGCAGTCGTAATGGCAGTTACAATGGCACTTCCAGTTGCCATCATTAGGTGAATCCTGTGCAGTTGTTAAGCGCAACATTTCAATCACCATTTGCAACCTCCTGGCAGCTTCCCCATTGACTTTGCTTGTGGGAAGCCAGCAGTGAAGGTCGCAAATGGCAATCACATGACTGCGGGACACTGCGACATCATAATTGCGAGCCAGTTGCCAAGTGCCCAAATCGCGATCACATGACTGTGGGGACACTGTGACAACCACAACTACAAGGATCTGTCATGTCTCCTTGTTCAGCATCATCGTAACTTTGAATGATTGCTGAACAAATGGTCGCTGAACAAGAACTACCTGTATCGAGGGCCAAGATAATGGCTGTTATTTAATTTTGTCTGGGGGATATTTTAAAAAATACTGTTTTTATTCTTTCCAATTCCAACAGAATACAGCTTAACAACGCTAATTGGGACCGGAAACTCCATCGTTAAGTGACACAGTTATAAGTCAAAAAACCACGTGACTGTACCACTTAATGATGGCAGTTCCAACAGTCCCAGTTGCTGTTATTAAGCAACAATCACATGACTTGCGACTTCCTGCCAGCATCCCCATTGACTTTGCTTGTCAGAAGCCAGCAGGGAAGGTCGCAAATCGCAATCATGTGACCGCAGGACACTGCAATGGCCATAAATATGAGGACCAGTTGTAACTATCACTCATCCAGCACTGTCATAAGTTTGAACAGTTGCTGAATGAGTGGTCATTAAATTTGGACTGCCTGTGTCAGAAAAAATTATGTAGAGGGACTTGGGACTCTGTTTCCATCAGCAGGATAACTCTCCAGAAACTGAACAGAACAGGACCAAAGTTGGTGTGGCAGGACAAGCCAACAAAAAAAAAAAGATTAATTCCAGCTGGGTGCTGTGGTGGGAGAAAAAATTCAGAAAAACATTCCCCAGGTGCATCTCTGTGGGAGAAGCAGTTGGGCAGCACTTTGAAATGCTTCAGACTGCTCCATTCTTAATCCTACTTCCACTTGGTCATATGACCCAGGGTAGACCTGCTATCAAGAATTTCAAAAGAATTCCAGAAGCCACACAAGCATGCTTGCCTTGCCTTGCTGCATTTTGGTTTTAACAGCTTGTACTTTGGGCACTTTTTAATTTTGTATATTGCTTTGAATACTTTTGTAGGAAAGTGAATTGCATATATTTGAAATCATTGTTTTGTTCTTGCTTAGGGACATTGCAGTGATTTATTGATTTTTCAAACACAACCATATTCGCTTCTCAGGTGAGTTAAAAAAATAGCTGATAACAGTATTGTATAACCTCCAGCATAGTATATTAGAACAAATATTAATAGCAATGGTATTACAGGAATAACTTTCCTAACATAAAGCTCCAGTGCGGCAGAGCCATTTGGAGGACCTCTGGCATGCTGAAACCTAGATATGTAACAGCTGTCCTATTGTTCTGGGAGTCAAGGGATGTTCTGTACACACTTGGACTGTCTTTCCATTAGAAAAAGGATATTTTCCCTTATAGAAAAAGAGAGCATCACCTCCATCTCAAGCCATGCAGAGTTTGCATTATGTTCTCTGTAAAGACACTTATATTTCCCATACTTTCTTGGGCTTTAAATTCACTGGAGAGGTTCAGTTTGGCACCTTTTGGTTTCTAATCTAAAAACAAAGAGTGCTATGTGACTTTAAAGTGTTCAGAGCAATTCATGCAAAGGCTCTATAAGGTACATTATATATCTGAAACTTAACCCAGTCATTAAAAGATCTAGCCCCTACATTTGCACTTATTAAGCTTAGTTACCATAGTAGTTTTTTGCGGCTTTCCATGTTGTATAAACAAAGTCCATTTGATTACTGTAGTTTGTGATTCAGTGTGCTGTGCAAATCCAGAAATGAATGAATTCAGTAAAAAAGTTAGGCATATTATACAAACATAGCCACAGCTCATCTGTTTCTATGTCTGATCTAGCTCATAAACCATAGGTTGGGAGGAGCTATCAAACTCAGTTTGAAACTGACTTGTGAATCAGAGTTCTGCTATGATTTGCCATTGTTTTTAATTTCATAAACTACTGACCAAACAAATTAAAACTATCCTCTGTCTTTAAGAGGTTGCTGCACAGGGGAGGTCGGAAAGAAATTAGGAAGCAAGGCAGATAGAAGAGAAGCAGCTCTTATTCTTGCTCTGTTTTAGAAGTTCAAACCAAGGATACTTCACAGGACTTGAACTTGTTGATCTTGAGAGAGTGAACAGAGTTCTTGGAAAAGTTAGCACACAGCTACCTATAGGTTAGATCCATGCCCCTCCTGCCTGGTCACTCTTTCTTAAGTGACAGGAAGAGTTCCCCCTGTCCTGAAAGAAGTGGTAGACCCCCTCCTCAATAAATCATTGTTGGACCCAGCAATATTGGACAATTTTCATCCAGTCTCCACCTTTTTCTTTTGGGAAGGTTGTAAAGAAAGTGGTTGCATTGCAGTTCCAGAGGTACTAGAAGAAACAAATTATTTGGACCCTTTTAGTCAGATTTCAGACCAGTATATAGTACTGTCCCAGTTGCTGGGAGTTGGGCAGCATATAAATATTATTATTATTGCTGCTGCTGCTGCTGCATTGAACTGGCTTGTGAATGACCTTTGGCCAGACAAGGACAGGAATGGTGCAACCCTCCTGGTGGTTCTTATTTATTTATTTAGAAAACTTATAGGGTTGCCTGTCTTATACATGATAATCCTAGGTAGCTCACAACATTCCATAAAACAAAAATATATATAAATCCACAAAATCCCACCCAAAAAAAAAAAATCATACTTCCTACTATAGCACCACAACATCCTACCAATTCTACATTTGCTGGGCTTCCATCCTAGTCCAGTGCCTGGGGGAAGAGCCAGGTCTTTATGGCCCTCTAGAAGGCTAAAAGAGCGGGATCCCTTAGAATCCAAATGAGGAGGCTGTTCAGAAGGGCTGGGGCAGCCATGGAGAAGGTGCGTTTCTGAAGTCTCACCAGAGGGCAACATTCAAGGGAAGGGATCTGAAGCACACCCACCCTGTTTGACCTGGTGAGTTGGGCAGATACCCTCAGGTAGAGGTGGTCCCACAAATAACCTGGCCCCATGCCATTCTCAACCTCTTTGCAGCCTTCAAAACCATTGATCATGTATCGTCCCCTTTTGGATGCCCTGGGGGCTACTGTTTTGCAGTGGTTCTTCTCCTTTCTCTGAGATTGTTTTTAGACAATTTTGATAGGGAGGAGACATCAAGTCTTAGGCCTGTGCTCTCTGGGATTTCTCAGGGATCAACATTTTTCCTTCTGCTATTTAACTTGTACAGCACAGGATTGGGTATCACCATATACACCCAGATGTATATCTTGTCCCTTGGTCAACCAAGTGATGCTGTGGAGGTGTTGTCCCAATGCTAGGAGGCTTTTAAGGTCTGGATGGGGAGGAATAAACTCAGGTTCACCCTAGCAAGACTGAGTGATTTTGGGTTCATGAATTGGCTGTGCCATCTTTAGTTCTTGATGGGATTGCACTTCTCCAGATGGACCCAGCGCGCAATTTGAGGATCCCCCAGGACTCATGGCTCTTGCTAGAAGAACAGTTGATAGCCATGGCCCAGAATGCTTTTGCACAGAATCATTTTCTATGTCAACTGAATCCTTTCCTGGACTGGAAGATCCTGCTTCAGAGTGCTAGTTATGGTTCAAGGCCTAGTTATCTACAAGACTGCCGTTCTCCATTTGTGTGTGCCTGTCCTAGAAATTCTTACAGGGTAGTCATGTTCTGGGTTCCTCCAGTTAAATAATTTCATCTTACGGGATCTTGGAAGTATGCCGTGTCTGTCGCTAACATCATTTCCCCAGAGGTCCATTTGGCCCCATCCCTACTCTACTTTAGAAAGGCATTGAAAACTTGGCTTTTCAAACAGATTGTGAGCCAAGGTGCTTTGTGATCCTGTCACGGGATGGCTGAAACTGTTTTTTATGTAGTTCCCATGGCACTGCTTAATTTTCTTAATATAAGCCCTTTTAAGTCATTCTGATTTGGCAACTGTCTAAGCCAAATAAATAATCAGTGATTAAAATAAATTATAGTTGGTGCGATGCTTCAGTAGAATCATAATAAAGAATAGGTAATAAAGTGGTCTGTTGAAAGAAGTTTAGGGACATTGCTGTGGGGATGCATATTGCCATACTTGTATGTTTTAACTATTTGCTACTATATAATTTATAGAGAGCAAAGCTTTATAATGTTCATATTGTTTCTTTTAGATTGAGTCTTGATTGTATTGGTAAAAATGCTGTCCTCTTGGAGAAACAAATACCTTGGTTACCATCTAGACTTTTGGAAGAAGTTGTGGATAAGATAACTTTTTGGGTTGCTGTTAATCATCGTCAGAAAAAAAAAGCCACAGCAGAAGGGCATGAGTAGATTAATGCCTCCTAAACAACAGTTCCACGTCATTTTAAAGTACACAATACTGACTATTATTGGTAAATTGTTTGGACTAAATTCTAAGATTTCTGGATGCACAAGAAACAGCTTCAAAGGTTATCAGTGTCATAACAGCTCCAGTTCAAGGCTCTGAAGATTAAAAGTTTTCTTGGACTTAAGAGCAATTTGATCCAATTATTATTATTAAAGATAATGGGGTTCCTGGCAGTGAAAATGCTATTTGGCCAAATTTGTTGGTATAAACTTCTGCCGTTATTTGAAAAGGAGATTTTTTAAAAAGTTGAATTGTGTTAAAAACCATTGTGCAAACTCAAAATCCTTTCACAACAGTTATCAAAGTTTTGACAGTGTTGTCCATTCTGTTGATTGTGTAAAATTTGTATTTAACAGTTGAAAATATTTCCTTAATTTATTGTAAAAAGTATTTATAAAATACTGTTTTCTATTCTTTTTGAGGTATTGTTGAGTCTTGTGATTAACATTTGCAGCATCTGAATATAATTTTCTGAATATCCTTTAGTCACTTGCCATGCCATTTGAACAAAAACTTGAAAAAATTGTTTTGCTCCTAAATTTTACTTTAATTACAGTAATAATTAAGCTCATATAATCTTAAAAAGTTTGGGAGGATTATGACATATAAAATACTCTTTTTGTAACTGTATCACAGGTATCATATATTCCCTTGAGATTTTTGATAGTAGCAGAATATCAAGAGGCAATGTATAAATGATACTTGCTGCCTTATTCTTTGTGCTGAAATATTTTAGACATTAAAATGTGAGGTTTGCTTCTCATTAGCTGGGTAGCTTACCAAACAAAGGGCTGAATTATACAAATCTGACTAAAGAACAAATGTTAATTACTAAATATGTTCATCTTGTAATAAATTGGTTTCTTTAAACACAAGAATAGATCTAAAAACTATAGTAAAATTATTGATGTGAGTTTAATTTTTTTCCTGGGATAATCATGTATAGGAGGACGCCCTATTATTCACTAGCTTCAGATTTGTTTTGATTTTTTGGATTCTAAGATAGATAGATAGATAGATAGATAGATAGATAGATAGATAGATAGATAGATAGATAGATAGATATTCAAAAGAGCATCAAAGTGGATAATGCTAAACAGTGTTCTTTGTAGCTAAAAACAGATTTTTAGAAAGGGCCTGGTATTGCAGAATGTTGTACAGAAACATTCAGTTACTCTATCAGTATTCTTATTTGTGCAAAATATTCAGGACTACTGTTTTTGCTAAGAATCTTCATGGTTGCAATTCACTGGGAATCTCACACAAGCTCTGGAAATGAAAAGGAACTAAATAACCCCAGTTGTTAGATAGCTTCCATATATTTCAAGGGTAGTTGAACATACTGTTTTTTTTAAGTGATGGTGCCCAATTTTCAGAAGTAATGGCCAGTAGTTACAATGCAATCTCTATATAACATGGTTAGGATTGATGTAAGAAGTCTGACTTTCAAAGATATTCACTAACAACATTAAGTGGTTTTTCCATATCTTAATTAAAAACCTACAGCAAAATATCCATTAAATGCACAATTTTGATCAGCAACTCAAGGTAAAAAATGCCTTTATTATATTAGGTTTTGATAAATGTTTTATTTAAAAGCCTACTTGATTCTTTCTCGCAGTATGAAATTAATTAAAATTGTCACAATCTGATAGCTCATCTTGCCCATTTTAATACTAGTAGCAGATTAATGCAGTAGCATGCTTACTAGTCAGTGCTTGTCACCATGCAGTATTACACCTGTATTACGGGCCCTGCACTGGTTGCCAGTAGGTTTCCAGGTGCAACTCAAGTGCTGGTTTTAATGCTGTCTATGACCTGACCCCTCAGTATCTGCAAGACCACGTACTTCAGCCAGAATTAACCTGTCTAATATATACATCCCTGGGGAAAGGTTGGCAGGCCCTCATTTCATGAAATGAGAAGATCTGAGGCCAGGAGACTTCCTTCTGTCTAATGCAGTGTTGTCCAAACTTGGCCACTTTAAGATGAGTGGACTTGCTGGGGAATTCTGGGAGTTGAAGTCCACTCAAAATGGCCAAGTTTGGACAACACTGGTCTAATGGCTCAAGTCTTAAGGAACAGCTTTCCATAGAAGTTAGACTTGCCCCTCTGTGCTGGGATTCCAGAAGTTGACAACAGAACTCATCTGAGAGGGTTTGGTGGCTAATTATAGTATTATCATTATATGCCATCAAGTTGGTGGTGGTTAGGTTGATACTATCTGTATTGCTTGATACATATAAATTTTATTTAATGTATTATATATTATGTTTTATATGTTTTAATTATTACTGAGGACTTTTTAAACTTGTGCATTCCTCTTCTATTGTTAACCATCAGGAATCCTTGTAGATGATATCAGTATACAAATATAATTAATGCATAAATACAACACCACCTGTGGATACTAGAAAAGGTATCAGCAGGCTTAAAGAACCCTGCAAAAATATGTTGGAAAGGGAAGAGGGAATCCCAGGGACAGCCAGTTATGAAAATTTGAGGGGAGAACTGAACAGTGCACCTTGAAAAGAGCAAGACTGGCTAGATTTCTGAACAGGAACACTCACTATAGCATTTTGTTTCAGGTTTCACTTTTTCCCTTCAGTTGGTCTGGCACTAATGCTGATGGGGATAGGAATTAAGGTGCAATGTCACTGCATACAACAGAGTGGGCAAAAGTGCATTCCCTGGACCACACTTACTTGTGGCCCCCAAATTTGCCTCTGAACATCTCTTGGTACAATTTCTCAACATTTTGAGGAAAGAAGCGTGTTAAAATTAATGCAAATTATACAGGAAGTGTAATAAGCTAAAACTGCAGTTTGCCCCAAACCTTATCAGGCCTCAACCGCTTACTTTTCATCATGGCCCCTCCTACTGTGGCCTTCAGGCTCCCAACCAATGCTAAATTAGGACACCACCCAGTAAAAAGTCTGCTGACTCCTGCCACAGATAAGGTTAAACATAGCACTGTAAATAGATAAATGGCAGCTGTAGTTGAGCACAAGTTGAAAGTGAAACATTTCTGCTTTATTTCAAGTTACACTTCCTAAAGGAAAATGGGTGACAGAAATCAATGCATGGCTGTCTAACTGCATAATGTCAGCTACACTTGATGTATCTCTGAGTCTGTAGGATGCTAACAGCAGCAGCCCCAAGGTAGTCTGTAGATTACAGATCCCAGCATGCACAGAGTAATGTGAGAATGCTGATGACATGACAACTAAGATTGGTAACCTTGTATACACTGCCTTACTAAAAAACGTTATTTGAAAGCTTCAGTTGACCAAAGCCATGGTGAAGGATATCTCTGGGCCCATCTGGTGATGCCCATGGCACAGGGAAGACTCTGATTTGGAGTGCAGGTTAGAGTAACTGGTAAACCACGCTGACAGGCTTACACAGCATGGTTGACCACTAACCATTTTGGCTTTGTGTGTTGTGTGAATCCAACCTAATAACAAGCAGTCCTAGAAGCTTTCCACACCATGCACACAACAAAAATGGAAATATTTATATTTAGTATTATGGCCTGTCCACTATTCAGAACATCACGGGTAGCAAAGAATCCACAAAACAGGTTCCCTGCCAAATCATAAAGATGCCCACCTGTCTCATTCATTCCTGCTAACTAAAGTCTGAAAATTCCCAATCTAAGAAAAAGAGCATTCAGCTTAATTCCTTCTGACCTTACAGTCATGCTCATGCAGTTTTCTCAGCAGTGATAAAGTGGTTTGCCACTGCCTCTGACTGGGTTTGTTTTCCCAGCTTCCTAATCCAATTCTTTTGCTCTTCTATGCAAATATTAACCAGATCCAAGCTTGCTTTGTTTTTTAGTTTAGCCAAGATCTGAACCAAACCTACTACTGTGCCTGGCGAGATTCCCCAACTAAGGTAGCAAGACTAAATCCTACTTTCCAATAATTTTGCTAAGATCTTTAGCACTACCCATAATCTCTCAAATTTTTAGAGTTGGGTGTTAAAGAGAGGCCATGGATGTGTGTGGTTATCAGTGTAGATTCTGCCACAGCTGGCACGCAGTTCCCCAGAAATCAGCCAGGAATGTGCTTAAGGAGGTTGCTCAAAACATTAAAATCTATTATAGTGCTGTGGCTTTGCACCACTGACAGCCTCTGCAGTTCACGGAATAATTTTCAACCAGGTGTATAGTTTACATTTTATACACGTGGGCTTTGCAGGCAGATTCACTCGGACCAGCGAAAGCTACAGCAGAGCACGTGGCTGTTTGATGCAGAGAAGAAAATGGCTCCCCGCCGCGGGGTATGGTACCTAAAGTGATTTTGGACTACAAGGCATAAACAGCAATGAAACAGATTAAAAACACATTCACTTACTACTACTAATCAATCACTGATCATTTGCTGACACCCCAGAATTGATATAGCTGCCTCTTTCTACCTAATGTTGGGGACGCCCCGTTTACTCGTCAAATCACACGAAGCGTCTTAGATGATGGCTGGAACAACATGACACACTGAGTCCCATTTCGTCCAGCATGCTGTGCCCGCCTAGCCCATATCACAGAAATCAGAAAAATGGGGGACCGCTCTAAACTACGGATAAGCGTACCACGTGAAGACACACCGACGTACCTCCGCGGAGGCAGTTCCTCGCTTGGCCTGAAGAGGGAGGAAAAGCGCAAGGCGACGTCTCACCAGGGGGCGGGGCTTCTGACAATGGGTGGGGCGGATATCTGCTCTGCGTCCGCCAATGTTGACAGTCTGAAAGACCCGGCTAAAGTAAGGCGGGGGAAGGGTAAGGTATCCTTCATCGCCTCAGCTTAAATTGGGGGGATGGGGGGAGGGGGTGGCTTCGTGAGATCCGTTAGTTGGTGAGCAGTTGACGTTTAACGCCGCTCCCGCTTTTTAAAGCTCCCTCTGCGGCAGAATGAGGAGGTGGAGATGCTGTTCAGAGTAGGGAGGAAGGGGGGCGCCTTTGGGACGGTCGCCAGCCCCTCCCCATTTTAAAAACAAGCCCAATATGACCGTAAGAGATGAGCCCCATGGAGACCAACGTAACGGTTGTTTTTCCTTCATTCGATGTTGGGGGGGCAGTGGGTCAGTTGGACCCTGGAAATACAGAAGAGCCCGTGTTTAAGGTCGCGTCGACATCAAATGTCCCGTGGCTGCTTGACTGCGCTTTTGTTTCTTCAACTCACCATAACAGCCTTCAAGTCTTGAGTCTCACAGTTATGGTAGGAAGCTCAGGGTTTTTTACATGACTAGAAAAGATAGTTGAGAACCAGCTCTTCCTTTCCGATCACCTGCTCTCACTCTTTTCCTGGCTCAAGATTGATTTTTCTGTTAAAAGCGTTCATGAGAGCCTGAGTTTGTTTGCAGATGAAGGGTTTGGAGCAGCTCTGATCTACAGTGTTTACTTGTTTCTGCAC